CCGCTCAGAAATCGGCCCAGGGCCTCTTGAGAGCAACGACCAGACGCCTAAATACTACAATGCAGACGCCGCTTCTGTTGTCCCGGCCACTTAAAGACCGCATCAAAATACTGTGGCGAATTGCGAATATTTCTCTTTCTTCTACACAACATCATAACGATAAAAACACGTCAATTTATTCAAAGCTTGAAAGAAAAACGTTACTGAATGTTGAGTGGTTAGTTCATGCTCCTAGGTGGATGGCCCACCGATATGCTTGTCTTAGTACGTCTTTTACGGAACTAGCAACACAATTACGCCATATAAGTGTCGTAGATAAGAGGTGTTACAAGAGTGTACCAAACACAAAAAAGAAGTTTTGTCTTAGTAAGTCTTTTACGGACATGCACTTGTAACGCAATTAGATCTAGGTTATGTAAGTGCCAAAGAATAGAAGTGTCACGAGAGAGAGAGACAAAACACAAAAAAGGAGGAGAGATAAGGGCGATAGACGTTTGATAGGAAAGAAGGAGCAAATAAAACCAGAGCACCCGTCAACCACCCACACTGATGAGCGCTGATAGCGAGACAAATTACCCTGGCTAACAAGAGTATAGCACTGAAGGGTACCATTTAATTTACTGCACATTCAACGATTAACTTATCATTAAGTAGAATGATAGTCTTTACCTGATGAGCATCTCCAGTCGGGACGATGTAGGCATCTAGAGGCTGACTCACATGCGCTGGGTTCCGCATGAAGGACCTCAGCCTAGAGAGGATAGCTCCACTGCCTTTGCTCATGTTGTCACGAGTAGAAATCACCCGCTTCTGGTACAGAAAAAAATAACATCTATAAAATAATTGCACAAAAAAATGTACAAAGTGAAGAGCGGGCGTTACAGTATGACTTCCGATAGTTAAGCAACTAAAATTGGTGCTGCTTTAAGAACGCAAATGATGAAGGATAACTAATTCGCAAGGCACATGCTTTATTATTACCGCACTGTCTTTCCGTTTATACACTGAAAAAAACTGGCCAGTACACAGAAAGGCCACCACGGAATGAATCCACCCAGCTGATAAAGAGATCAAGGAAGTGTTCTAAACGGCGCACAGCACGTCGAAGGCTATAATATATATATTATATATGAAGCGCCGGGGGGGGGGCTATAGAAGTGATCTTTATTATTATTTTTACATTCTTAAAAACTGAAATAAGACAAACTTAAAGCACGCCGTTTTCTGAGTATAGACCTTCTCAGAAAAACTGATGAGGAAAAATGCTAATCGGTTCAATCACATACCACAAGCTGTTTCCCCGAATCGACATATCCTGAGGATTCACGTGTCGGTAATTCGACCCTACCTTGAAAAGCTATCAGTTGTCGTTGAATATACAGAGAGTAACGACCCATAGAGGAGTACAGTGTTGGCTATGGGGTTGGAATCTAAATCTGAACCTTAGTTTGGCATTAAGTTTGGTGGGATCCCAGAAAGGAGGGTATAATTTAAATGGAACACTCTTTAGTGGTATTAATTGGCAGCTATATTCGATGTGCAGTTGAGTAGATCTTACTCATTTTCGGCGCAGACTATCACTACTATCAGTTATATTACAAGACGCAGCATCTACGTTGACGAGCAATTGACAGGACTAGCTTGTACATGTACAAGGCAGCCATGAAAAAAAGAGAGAAAAGAAACAACAAGCAAGCAGACAAAAACTTGGGGAAAAGAAGAGAGAGTTTGGTGATACAACACAAGTTGAGCATCATAGAAGAAGAAGAGGAAGAGGAAGTAGAAGAGGAAGAGGAAAAAGAAGAAGAAG